GATGCATGAGAAAACATAAAATGATAAATGGGCGAAAGAGAGGAACACATATAACTAGAAAGATCATCAATACACAATATAAATATGCTGAATAGTTACAACCAAGTAATTTATGGTTGCTCCAAGTAGAAAATAAGCTGTATCCATACATATTCAGCCATTTTTGTTAGCTGGTAATTTGCATGAAGAATGAAGGGATAGCAGATTCATTAAATGTATTTTAAATGGAAACTTTGTCTATGAAGCATGGTTATGAAATAAAGACTTACATTTTCCTCTAAGCAACACAGGAAAGGAGTGAGTTACCAAAAATAAAGGTTTTTTTCAACATACCTTCCCACTATGTCAATGTAAAGAAAACTCAGGTATAACTTTGGGAAGGAATATTGAACAGATTTGCAGAGAGCCTTGCTGCAGAAAAATGGCAAGGAAGGTGGAACTTTATGACATTTGGTCTTGAATTTCTGTAAACTTTTCAGAAGAAATAATAGTCACCACTGAAGTCACAGACAAAAGGTGACCAGAATCAAAGAGCTTTCCCCATGATATTCCAAAACCAGATTAAGCCCTCACTGTGGAAAGATGTGTGGGAGAAGTAGAACACAAAGAATATTAACCCTCTAAGTCTAAAACTAGCCGAAGTGGGAAAAAATCACAAATCTTCCCCAAAAGGTCCAAGGATTAAATTACTATCAGATAATCTCTTACACCTTTTCAATTTCAAAATAAAAAGTAGGGAAACTTCAGTGGATAACAGAAATCTGTCAGTGAGCTGATACAGCTCACTGAAAGCCTGGACTACTTAGCTCTCTACCTCTTCCCAAACCTAGGAAAAACATCTTGTGCAAGGAAGGATTAAATCTGCTCTATGCCCACGAACTTGCCCAAGGTGTGAGAAAATAGAGGGCCAGGTGTGTTCTGATAAGAATTCTGGCAGTACAGCTCACAGACCTAAATGCTGCTCTATACTGACAAAACGTAGATCTTCAGATGTAAATGCTTTTGACCACACTAATCTGGCACCATCTTGCCTTAACCTCCTGGACACCTTTCAAAGAAGAGGAATTGGACAAAAAATGTTCAATAAGCAACTGACTCAGAAATAGGGAATAAAGGGCTCAGGGCCAGACAAGCTCTGGAAGGGCAAACTTCCATCAGTGTCTTAGTGCAAAAGGGTTGACCACAGATTTTAAATCCCCAGGCCCATTAAATATCTTTAAAATGTCCTCTCACATATCCCTTTTACAGGAGTCTGACATAAGGGTTATCATAAGCAACCAACACCATCTAAGCCCAGCTTGGATAAAAGTATTCCTTTCAGTACCTGAAAGTAACTGCAGTGTAGCTACTGGACACATACTCATGGTGAGCCCCAAACAACTAAAGGAAAAGGGAAGTGACATCCATAAAGAACCTAATTGTTGTACTTATTTATCATTAGAAGCACAAATATCTGAAGTTTCTGAACAGCAAAGAATTTAAGGAAAACGAATTTGTACTGGTGGGGGTTCTGGTCCATCATGTAAGCCAGGAAATTCTCTTTATGGAAATAAGTGTCTTCGAGATATAAAATTATCCCTTCTGCTGAAATGAAGGTATCATCACCACTAATGTTATCATGCTAAAATCATATTAGTGATTAAAGATACTTAACTTCTCAAAGTTAAAGAGATGTCTCTATTCTCCACACCTGTTAGGACTAGCTCCATAAAACCTGGACCCTCCGCTCCAAGATCAAACGATTTGTAGGTGATAAAAGCAAATTAAGGTCTCCCTCTCAATAAAGGCTGGACTCCTGGCGAGGGCTTTTGACAAGTGGCAAGGAAGAAGGCTTGGGGAATAGGCTAGGAAGAGTGATTGCTGTAACCATGGTGTTCAAAAGTGTAGGACAATATGGATTCAGATCAACTGTCAACGGCATTAATCCAAAGAAAAACCAGACCCAAAAAAAGCAGATTTAGAAGTAATGACTCTTGGCTCTTACCACTCCTTGAAAAGTACTGGGATGACTACCATAAGGAATGAAGAAATGCATGCAAAGTTGAGTTTTGAGGGTAATTAGTCAAGTTATTCAGAAAGAGGAGCCAAAGTTGTAGCATTTAAGGTCTGTAAGTTGGCTTCTGTCAAAATGCTATTGTGAAGTTTCGTGGTTATGTCAGGGTGGGCACAGAGTTTCTAAGGGATTGAAATACTTGGCCAGTATTAGCTCAGAGACAGACTCCCTCTGATGGTATATCTTCAACTGTGGCTTGCAGTTCATGGGCTGTTCAGAGCTGTATGGCCACAACAGTCATCTTAAGAAAGTAAGACACAACATGTTATGTTATCTAATCGCTTGGAACTTGAAAGAAAAAAAAAAAAAAAGGATTTATTTATTTTAATCTTCCAAGCACAAAATCCATCTAATAACAGATACTGGACTTAGTATATCAGAGCCTGGTAATGTGCTATTATTTTGAAGGGTTTTGAGGAGAAAAAAAGTAAATTTTTCCCCCTCTACAACCAAATGTTTAAAGCCCCTGCCAAAAGAAGCAGAGTGAGACTGTTTAAAATGTGCCAGAACCACAGCAACGAAAATGGGAGTCAGTGGAGGGTGAGTAAAAAGGAAAATCCAAACCACCTGCTGATACTTGGTAGCATCTGTCACTGTGCAAGAAGTGGGAGCACATGAAGGCAATGCTCGCCAAAGCAATTGAGCTGGAAGCAATATGGCATCATTCATCGATCTAGTTGTATCAGCTAGCATAGATCCTACAGAATATCAGTCATGAACAGAACAAAATTTTGGGAAACCTTTACAGTGATCTGTAGAGTACTCAACTGAACTCTTCAGCAATGCTTTAAGGTTTTGTAGGGGCTGATATAAATGTTCACCCCCCAGCGAAAAGCAGAAGCAGCTCTCATTCATGACGCCACTAAGGTTTTCAAAAACAAAAGGTTGTTTGCACATTTGCCCTTCATAGGAGATACGACAGTCTCCTGAGGTGACATCTTTGAGGGGGAGATGATGGGAGGTTGTGGAGGCAAAAGTTCCTTCTTATCATCAGCTGAGCCTGCCTACTGGTGAATGACATATTAGAGATGCGATCATCCCAACAGATGATGCCTTTCCTGTGACAGCATTTCTTTGGTAAGAGATCAAACATAAATCCTTCCTACAGGAGGGCGGATATTGAGCAAGAGGTAATAATACTGTAAGCCAAGGGTGTTTTCAAGGTTACTGAAGAGCTCCTCAGTCATGTCTTTTGGTCTTGATGAGTAAAAAATTAAGGCTGATTCACCCCTCTTAGAGGGATATAAGTCGAGAGTGATTTGGTGCAAGCATGGATACAGCCCAGAAATACAAGGTATTACTTCCTACAACCTTTATAAGGACAATAAATAAAAGACATAGCAGTAAAGGCAGAAACTCTAATGAAGCTCCATTCTCAAACTGAGGGAAACAGTGAGTCAGGGCAGACTCTGAATTATCACACCGGTCATAATGAAATCTGGTGACAAAGGCACCAAAAAAAATCTCAGAAAATAGTGATGATTTTGCGATTGTGCAGACATGCTCCATTTTTCCTTCAGCTATAGCAAATGTTCCCTCCTTACTGCCAGAACAGGCAGCACAATCAGAAAACATGCATCTCAAGTACCTCTCTGTGTATGAAGAATCAAAGCATCAGGCAGGATATCTAAAGTTTTTCTCTCTATTATGAATAGACCTAGAGTGAGACAAGGATTTCTTCTCCCTGGATGATGGTGGAAACATGGATCCTTCAATCTGAGTTTCACAAAAAGGCTCAAAGATGATTTTTTAATACTTTCTTTGGAATCATTTTCTCAATCTGTACTTGAAGTCTTAATAGACAAAACATTTAGATGGAATGAAAAAACAAAGAAGAGAAAGAAGGGTAGTTGTATTAGGCGACTCCCTTCTGAAGGGAACTGAAGGCCCTATATGCTGACTCTACAGAGAAGTGCTGCCTACCCAGGGCTCGGGTAAGGGATATCAGCAGGAGACTCCCTGAGCTCATTCAGCCTCTGATTACTACCCACTGCTAGGAGTCCAGACTGACAGTGATGATATTAACGAAAGAAGCATCAGGGTAATTAAAAAGGATTTCAATTAACTGGGCAGACTAGTTAATGGGACAGGAGCACAGGTGGTTTGCCTCAGTTCCTACAGTAGAAGGGATGGATGAGGAGAGAAGTAGGAAAACCCACCTTATCAATAGGTGGCTAAAGGATGGGTGCTACCAGCAGAATTTCGGCTTTTTTGACCATGGAGCATATTCTGCGTTGCCAAGCCTGCTCGAGTCAGATGGGCTTCATCTCTCTAGCAGGTGAAAAAGAACTCTAGCCCATAAGTTGGCAGAGCTGATCAGGAGGGCTTTAAACTAGGTTCGAAGGGGAAGGGCTGGAAACCAGGCTTCCTAGAGATGAGCCTCAGGGTGGGCAGCCAGAGTTAGGAGTTAAATCATCAGCCCAGCTGAAGTGCATGTACACTGACGCACGCAGTATGGGTAACAAACACGAGGAGCTGGAGGTCACTGTGCAGCAGGAAAGCTGTGACATAGTTGCCATCACAGAAATGTGGTGGGATGACTCGTGTGGCTGCAGTGCTGCCATGGGTGGTTACAAGCTCTTCAGAAGGGATAGGCAAGGTAGGAGGGGTGGAGGGGTGGCTCTCTACGTCAGAGTCTCTCTTGATTCTGTAGAGCAGAATGTATGAATGCAGAACTAATTCATTCACCTCTAATTTATGCTTTTTGATTTCTTCAAAACTAAATTCCACACAATTCTAAAATTCCTAAAGAGGTGAACAGAAGGACTTCAGGGATAATTATTTTTATATACACACATATACAGCCATGGGTCACATATATTATTACACAATTATATTTACACAAACATGCATAAATAAAAGACCACATTCAGCTTGATTCATATTTCTGGACCAAACTTCATCTCTTTTGAGTGCTGCCATAATTTCAAAACTTGTATTCTCATACCTTTGCATAAGCAGTTGTTTTGATAAACCACTGTTTGAGGTATTTCTGTTCCACTTTTGCTCCTGAACGCCATGAGCAACCATTGTCATCCACTTGTTCATTAGCTAGAACAGTCTGATCCACTGGATCCCAATTAACCAAGGCCTAATAAAAGAAAAAATATTTTCAGCAGCTGGTTAAAAATCTGAATCAAACATTTCGGATACCAGAAGAATTGTCCAGAAACATACCTTGGACTCCTGAGTTTTCTACATTTTTATAACATCCATTTGAATCAGCAACATGGATTCAGCTGAAGATGTTCTGAATACTCATTTTCTCAGAACTCAAATGACACAGGAATGCAGTTGGCAGTGTTAGCCTAGACTGATTACGCTAGCAAGATAGGCTGACACTTGACTGCTTGACTGTTAAGTAAGTGTTCATACTGACTTACTGCAACTACATAGTCTGATGCTTAAAAGCTCTTCACTGCTAACCCAAAAGTGTTGAGTCAGACTGAGGGAGATGAATAAACAAGGATGTTCAACTTGAGAGGACAGAATAACAAAGAATTATTATAGTGGTCAACTATATTTCAAGTGAAAGAGTTGATCTTATCTGCACATAACTTCTGTCAGCTCTGTGAATTACTTTTGGAATCATCTTTCCTTATCAATACAAATGCATTAAAGAAAATTTAAAGTGAAATAAATGTCGGCATTCAACTCTGCAAACCTTGTTTTTGAGGGCTAACTGAAATACCAGACATGACATACTGGGGAGGGAGCAAAAATCAAACTTGTTCTCCTCCCCGGGGTTGAACAATTGTATGTTCACTTATCATAAAGGATACAAGATCACAAAAGAATCTTATCATTCATTCCAAAAGTGGTATTAAATGCTAGATATTAACTTGAAAAAATTAACAGAAAGAATAAAAATATAATCGATAAAGAAGAGCAATTCAGTATTTGAACTAAATCTGCCTGACTGAAAAACAGTAGCTACATTTCCATAGAGTTCTAATACATTCAACATTTTTAGAAAATTTAATTCTTTGGATATGGGGAGGACTTAGTATCTCAATCAAAAACTAACCACTGTCCTCATATTGCTTACTTTACATTTTATCTATCACTGATCACCTTGTGAAGTACCCCAGTTTCCCAACATCTAATATTGCTCAGCTTTAAATATGTTACAGATTTTAAGAAAGAGTAATACCACAACCATTTTACAAACCTTGTAGTGAGGACAGCCAGAAGAGAGATGCATGGATCCTCTTCCTTAGAAATACTGCTACTGGTCTGGGTGGGGTGTGTGTGTGTGTGTGCATGTGGACATGTGTGTGGGCACAAAGTCTGACTGCCTCCATTGACTTATAGAAAATGTATTACCATTAAATGAATGAAAGTCCTTCTTTGATAAAAACAAACTCACTTTCAAATGGAGCTTGTGTGAATTCAGACTGGAATTTAAACGTTTTACACTATACAAACCAACGACACCACGCTGTGTTGTATAAAAGTCTTATGAAAATTCATTAGGAAATGAAAAGAAATCAATATATTCCACTATTACAGATCTATTTTCCACACTTTCAGAAAACACAGCTTCTTCAGTAATGGCATAACACATTATGAAGTTGGCTCTAAAGTAATGATCTTTTAATTTAGAAAGTTCTGGAAAAAAAACCCACACCACTTTTAGGTGTTAAAATAACACCTAAAGAGAGATAAATCAGATAATATTAAGAAGCAATAACATGCCAGTTGCATAAAGCAGTATTAGCACAACTTGTATTAAACTGCCTATGACTCAAAGTCGAGAAAAAAATGTTTCTATTCTGACGATATTGTATCAAATTCATGGTGAAAATTTTAGAAGGTAACTGAAATGATTTACATAATTATTTAGCATAACAAATGTTCCTGTTACGAATCATAAGGATATATCTAAATAAATCATGCAAAACATAAAGCAAATGTGCGTTTAAGAAATCAGTAGCTGAAAGGGCTTGTCTTTGAATTTTTAAAGTTACATTTTGTTCCTTCCATCTCTCACAGACTTTTGACTAATATCTAGAACCTGAATAATAAATTAAATCTTTAGTTCCTACTTGTACCTCACAAAGGCAACTTCTTGACAATGACAGCCTCTGACACTATGACCCCAGGAAGCTGCTAAGCATCATCTACACAAAGCAAGCACAGTGCAAGAGTGTACACAGAGCACAACAATTATTTCCCTCTCCTCAGTACACCAATGTAGACCATAAGCTTTTAAGACAGGATTCATCTCGTCTAACTTCAGGTATCTATAGCATAACTATCTCTCTCCAGGTTTGGTGTCTCTGGTTCCAGTCCAGATTACAGGTATCTCACCAAAATAAGAGGGCAGGTATCAACCTCAGTGAGACATCCACATCTGGCCAGGTCAATATCCTCTATAGTGTATTGGGTAGATCAGTACTGCAGGAAGATGAGAGAGGATTTTGCTACAGTGACTAAAGATGCCCCCTGTGGATGCTGCAGCACCCAGGCAGATACTGTTAATCCTCAATAACTGAAGCTCCCAGACATACTGAGTCTGTGTCTCCCTGTCAGTAATTTCTGGTCAGACACATATACTCCTAGAACAGAGTGATAACTGGGCTAACATTCCACTTATTGTTACAGCAAAGCTATGAATTATCTCCTTGTACCCAAAATGAAATTGTAATACAGGAGGTTTCAAGCTGTGCAAAAGCACTGCTTAATATATATTGCAGATACACTGACAACGTGAGATAAATATATGTTTTAAGTATATATGACTGTTTGAAGAGACCCAAGGTTATGGGCTCTCTCTGCCATCTGTTTCCTGCCAAAAAGCAACTGGTTCATATCCACCACAGATTACATCTCCTACAGGTTGACAGATGCTGATTTAAGTCCACGAACTGATCCTTAACATGAAAGCAGATGGAAGTTGGAAGGAGATTCAATCACTGGTACTCAAACACCTCCAGGATCCTACAGTCCTTGGAGCCTGCATGCAAAATTTATTCTGTATATCATTCTTGCTTTGAATGAAGCACAAGCCTTGTGCTTTTCAGATTCACCTGGGATCACTTGTCAAGCAAACAAATTTACAGATAAAAATATCTTTGCTATGGCAAACTAGGGGGTTAAATTTTTTATTACAAACAAAAAATAATTACAGTCAAAAAAACCAACAAAACCAAATCCAGCATGTTAGTACATAACAAATATTGAGGCTTTTTGCTGGTTGTCATTTAAGATCTCTGAGTACATCTTGCCTATGCAAATAGGGGAAGTAGCTCTGTAACACCCTGCTATCTTTAACCATCAATCCTGGTTCAGAGAATAATGGGAGTGCATCCCTAATTATATCCTAGGGGGTTTCCTGGTTTCTATAGAATACGAAGGAAACATAAAAGCACATTTAAGAAACCTTAGTTTCCATTTTAAGTTAGAAATATTCACTAAATTGCAGCTTTGTTTAAGTGCAGCTGTTCAGGTATTTTGGAACTGCCTTGGCTATACAGAGAGTTCGTCGGACTGCTCATTTAGTATCTTTATTTTACCTCCTGCTTAAGAAATTAACTCAACCCTTCACTTTTCAGATAGTCTGCTACATGCCATTTACAAAATACTGTAATTTCTTAATGCACTGCTAACAAACAGCTGTGATAGTCTTTGGGAATTGAATACTTCTACAATATTTTAGAGATCACGAATAGGGCTCAGGAATAGGACAGCTGTGCACCTAATTCAAATAATCCAATACCATCAGTTTTGAGACAGCATCACAGCAATATCATACAGGTAAATAATCTCACTGCTGAAGAGACTCCTAATGATCACACTGTCATACACTTTCATGAGGGAAGTTAAGATCTAGAAAGTTCTGTATTAAAGCTAGGAAATAAACCAGTAAAAGCTATATTCTGATGCTGCACTTCAACGTAAATCTCTTACAATAAACACTTCTGATTTGACTTGTTACAACGGCCATTCATGTTAGTTAGTTAGTTACATATAAAATTCAGTTATATATAAAACATTCTATTTTAGAGTGATTTAAAACTAACAGAGCACAATCCACTTAATGAAAGTGAACAGACAATTCAGAAATGTGCCACTGATAAGAATTACTTAAATTAGTGTACCTGCAAAATATTAAAGGTCAAAATTTGTGCCTACCTCTTTTTGATACACTATTCCAGCTTCAAAAAGCTTGAGAAAGAGATATTGTGTCCATTTGTAGTACTCTGGTAAGCAAGTGGTTACCTCCTGTGGAAATGAAGTAAAATAAAAATTCCTGAAATTATTCTTAGTCTTTTCTTACAACATTTTAACTTAAACAATTAATCCAGGATATACGTATAATGTATAATGTATAATACATTCCACAGAGTAAGCTGAAATGCTCATTTATGTATCTATTTGCGTACAAACCCCAGTTGTGTAATGTTCACACAGAGTGATATTCACCTGAACACAAAACCAGAGAACACTGCCTTTGTGTGGGTTTGATGTGCAGGGAAAAGTTTCCCTGCTAACATGGAATATAAGAACCCTGTAAGATTAATGCTGATAGGTATCAGAACAGAAGATGAATGGAAGTGATCACAGCTGCTTGATCAGGGAAACAGCAAAACAAGAAAAAAAGTAGACCTTTATCAAAGAAGGCATCCTAGCCAGGCTGCCTTTGCCTCTGTTTCTCAGCAATGCAAAGCAGGAACAGAGCCCATCGGCTGCTCAGAGGCAGCAGGGATGTGGCTGCTGCAAGACAAGCAGAGAGAGGAGCCTCCAGCTGAAGACGTGGGGGCAGGAGGACAGCAGAACAGCACCGAGGAACAGAGGCTGTGGGCAGACAGTGTGTGGGGCAAACAGGACGAAACATGAGGTAAGATTCTAAACCTCAGGACTGACAGACTTATGAAGGATATCTCACAGTCAAAGGTCAAATAAGCAACTGTTTCAAAAGGCAAGCCAGCTCAAGTTAAGAAAATGCTCTAGGTTGAAGTATGGAAAAAATGAGTCATAAAAGAAGTCACAAACAAAGAGGACTGTTATGAGGGAAATAAAGACAGACAAAGATAAAATACAACATAAGAAGGAAGAATGGGAGTTAAGAGAATAGCCAGTGACAATATAATGGATAGCTTTTTTTAAACTCCAAAACATTTTCCAAGCTTTTAGTGAACTCAAATAATTAAAAAGCAACCTACTTACCAAGTGCTTACTAAGTTCCATATTTTAAATGTTTGTTCTTAAAAAAAACAACCAACTGCATTTCAAATAAACATCTTAAGATGCAAGAATGACTAAGGGATTCCACGTTTACAGCCTCACAGGCGTAATGGAAACCCATATGCTCACACCCACCTATTTTAAAGTTTGGCCAAAGTGAAAACAACTGTGTAAACTCAATATTTAAGCTCTTATTACATCATACATATGTAACAACAAACAGGCCACGTTTCCCTCTTCAACCGTTTTTCTGCTGAACTTGCACTTGCTTAAAGAAGAAACATTTCTACAAAGTTTCTGTCTGACCATTTTGACTTACTGAAGTGGAAGATGGCTCTTATGCTGAACTCCAAATCAGCTCGAACATCTCTTGAATTTACAGTTACAGATAAAAACCTTATCTATAAGCCACTGATAAAATTTATTCCATTTGCAAATAGTTATCCGGTACCAGAAGTAGCTCCAAATGTGAAATGCCTTTCACGTGGGCTTTCTTATCATCTAAAGCTTCCCACTACACACAACTCCTGCAATATCATCTGCTACTCAGATGGCATCTGAAACACTCTAGCATAAAATTTTTATTCCTTTTCTACAACTTTACATTCTGCTGCTGAAACGTTGCTTTGAACTTAATATTCCAGTGCTGAAACATTGCTTTAAACAATTAATATGACCTTTGAATAGATGTGTCTCAAAAGTGCGTCTAAGAGGCTTTCAAGATGAGAAAGAGACATTTAATGGCAAGTTTTCAGCACAGCATGTGAAGACCTAGTAATGAAAAACAATGTCTTGATTAAATCCCCATGCTCTGCACTAAAAAAACCCACTTGATAAAAGTCTGATTTCCATCTCTCCAAGTAGACACTATCCATGAAGTTTTTTTTCTTTTCTCCTGCTTCTCCACACAGTGACAACAGTTCTTCTGCCACTGTGATGCCACTACAGGCAACAGAGTTTCATGACTGGAATATCAGACATACAAAAGAAGAGGGACAATCCCCTTCAGTACAGTATTATGTGAACAACAACAGAAATGAGTTGTCAAACAAAAATAGTAAAATGGACTGAGACTCGTCCTTTTGGCCCCGAATGGCAGATATGTGCTAGCTGAAACAAAAATTACATTTCCCAATCTAAACAAGCACATTACAAGCAAAACAAGCTTGAGCTACAAGCTACAGGCTAAGTCCTAAGAACAGAATCCCATGTACATGCTCTCTCAAAAGCTGTAAATCGAAACTTTTCAGAAAGGAATGCAGCAGTGAAAAAAAAAATTGCTGCGTGGTCATTGAGTTGCAAAAAGACCACTCAAGCTCATAATGTAATTTTTTAACCATGAAGGTTTGGAGTAACTTTTGAAGTTAATGAAGAAAGAAATTACATCACTACCCTGTGAAATGAGCTGCTGAAGACAAGCCAGTAAACTCTTGTCAGTCTCAAAACGTGTTTTGATTTTTTCCCTATCATTTAACACACTTATGGTTAAAAATAATTTCTTGTGTATTCCAGTAACCGACCTCGACAAAATAAATAATGTCTGGTAAAGATTTTCCATTAGGCTGCCATCATGCACAAACGAAGGCGAATGTTAACGTGTCTATTTATACTTTATGAGCATGACAAAGATCTGCAGGTCATTAACAGAACTAACTTAACTCAGAAATACACAAAAGAGTTTATAAAAGGGTTTGAAACATAGCACACTGGAGCCCTTCCACCCTGACAAAAACCGTAACTTTCTGCTTCCCATTTGCCATCTGAGCACTAACATAACAGCACATGCATAGAATCCCAAATCATAAAGCAGTTCAGCGTAACAGGATATTACCATATTTTCTCAAAAAAAAAACCTGCTGAAAATCAGAACCCTTTTACAAAGATGTATGATGCTGCTCAGCTGTCCACTCACTTCATGCTCTTCATGCCCTATGACAGATTCAGTGACCACCCATCACCTCTGCATCTCAGAAGGTGACATGAAATGAGAGGGAAAACATCTCCCTCTTCCCTCCAACCATTTTGCCTTTTCCTTTTGTCAGCTTTAAAAGCAGTATCTGATGCTCTCACCAAAATGCATCTTTATCATTGGTTACTGTTACTGCTCCTTATTCCTACAAGAATGACTCATTCATTAAAACAACTCATTACAACAATTACAACAAATCACCTGTGAAAGTGGTCTGTGGATACTGCCAAGGCATAGAAGAGAAAGACCCCTAGCCTTACCAAAAACTACTTTGCATAATTCCTTTACTGCAGCACAGCAATCCATTCCTAATGAATAGCACGATGGAAGGGTTAGAATGTTACTTTTGAAAACAAATTCTCAGTTACACAGTAAATGGCAGTATTACAATTTAGATTTGATAGTACTGCACCTTGGGAATCAACTGGTTCATGTTAAGATTAAAGGGCCTTTCATTATTAAAAGATCTGGTTAAAAAAACCCTTCTAGGTACCAAAAATATGGGAAAACCAACAGTAAGAGATTCTGAGTAAACAAAAAGACCAACAAACAGAATGGAAAATTTTAGTCATTAATAAAAGAAAAATTAATTTTCAAATGCCTTGTTTTATAATTCATTATTTGTTCTAAACCTGCTCTGTTCTTACAACTTTGTATTTGCTAGCTCTGACCTTATAACTGGGTTTTGCTTGTGTTTTTTTAAAGAAGGTTACATCTTCAAGCTACTTTCATGGCTATTTTTTAAAAGAATAAAAGTAATATTTACAGGCTGCTTGAAAATGTTTGTTTGTTGTAAGATCCACCAGGCTTTATGAATATATATGAATATAACTAGACTGAAGAGAAGTAATCTCCTAGTTTATTAATAATAATTTTATTTTTAGCACAGTCTTACGCTGTACCGAAGACAGACGTGTTGCTCTTATTAAAAGGAGATAAGGAGAAAAAGTCCGGATAGATTTTTTTTTCAAAATCTATTTGGGAAGATTAGATAGTCTTTAATCAATGACTTGCCTATTTTGGCATATGAGAGCATAATTATTTGATTTTCAGAGCTTTAGAGCTAGACCAAGCTACATTTCTAAATTATTCTGGATCTTTGTATTTCAAAGGCCCTTAATTTTATGCTTTATTAGTTACAAACACATATGTCATACAGGGCCTACATTTTAGAGCATGAATATCTTTCCTGGACAAAAACCCAGTAGCCTTGTATCAACAGTTTCCTGTTTTAAATTTAATTACAAGCAGGATCGCTGATTAACAGTGATATGTAGATAAAAGGAAAATTTCACAGGTAATGCTCTCTCTGCTGTTCGTTTAATGCATGCTCAGGCAACACACAAGAATGACAACTTCAAAACTAAACAGAAAAATAACTGCACAGAGAAAACCTACCAAGGATCTTTCTAAATGCACAGAGCAGAAGGGGAAGATTACTCTTATGCAAAAAAATATGTCACTTGGAATGCAGAAGCTGGAGAGACTAAAAGATGTTTGCAGAATGAGCTGCCTTCGAGGAGAAAGTTACAGACCGATAATAACAGTGGTGAACTGATGGCTAACTGGGCACATGCACTCAGCCTGATGGCACTCCTGAGTGAAAGAAAGGAAGGAAGTTCTATGCTCTCCTTCCCTGGCTGCTGCTGATACCAGTCTTTGAAAATCATATTGCCTAGTTCTCCTGAAAATCATGTTTAAAAGAAGACTGGTAGGCAGTTTGCTATGCTGTCTGGGGCTGTGTTTTGGGAAAATCTGATCACCAGGAATACTCAAATTACTGTTATCCGAAAACCAAAATTGTAACAAAAATGTTGTGCATTTTTTAATTTTTCTAGGTGTTTTTACTGTCTCTCAGAGATATTTCTTCCGTGCTCAAACTTCGGCTTTTTAGCCTTGCATCTGAGAAATATAAATGTTCAGCATAGAATGTTCTCTCTCTTACTGGGGTTTTTTTTATATATTTCTCCCCAAAATTATACCATTTTCCACGTGATTCAAAAATATAACATTTATTACTTGAGACACCTAAATTATCTACATGTCTCAGGTAAAAAAAATCAGCTAATTATTCATATTTACAACTACTCCAAAGCAAAGTACTTACACAGTTATTTTATGCATTTAATTCCATTTTTCATTGGCTGACATTTTCTGTTTAGGTGAACAATTTTAAAGTATCTTTGTAACCTGACTTTCTGAAATAAACTTTATTAATGCCTTGTTTGTGGTGCTTTACTGGTTAAGTAATTTTACTGACTGCTACAACATAGAAATACTTGCACATTTTGATTTCCAAGACAGAGAACGATGAAAAAGCCTTATAAACAGGTAAAAAGAAATTTCTAGTATCACAGAGGCACTGGGATTTGTTCATAATAATTTTATCAAGTAATGAAATTAGAACTAGTCTTCACCTTCCTGGACACGAATTTCTTGACCACCAGACATGACTTTACAAGCAGCTAGCTTCCTCAGCATAGCTGCTTGCCCTAGGTATTCAAAATGGACTCTTTTTTCCTTTTCAAGTTTCCTTCCCATCATCTAAGCATATACTCTAACGTGGCCACAGAGGGCAGAGACAGAACATAAAAGGTTCACAGTTTTAAAAGGCAGCTCACCACGGGCTAAAATAGGAATCTAAGTGAGGGGAATGTGTTCCCTCCAGCGTGTATTTGCTAAGTGCTACATTCTAGTGCAATGAAGGGGCAGATTTAAGCAACATCAATTAAATTCAATTCAAAACAAAGTTCTGTTTTGTGTAATGGTCTCAGTTAGTTAGACTAATCCATATAAAAGGTGGTTTTCTTGCATTTTTCATAGGAATCACTAATGCTAGTGGCTGTATTTGCATTGCCACGGTACTTTGTAAGCCACTGATTTAGAGACAAACAAGCACAGAGTATTTAAATAAAAACCCCAACTCTTTGCCTCAAAGAGCTCACTTTTAAGATAAGATTCTGCAAATATGCTTGAGTTAGCCCAGAAGCAGGACAGCTGAGGCAGTAAGATGCTCTGCCCTGCCTATTTAGCCTTGCAGAGAAGCAGGCTGTACCAGCCTGGAAAACACAACTCTGCTTCAGCTTAGCCCTTCAGTTTCCACGGGTAGTTCTTTCATGGCTATCTCAAATATCTGTGCATTTGCAGATCATGTAATACAAATATATTTCAGGTATCATACCTTTGTTTTTTTGCAATGAATAAACATACCTATTTCTAATGGTTACCATCAGGGTCACCCACTCCATTGAGCAAGGCAGGTTTACTAGGTAAAACAAAACTTAACTCATAAGCTAAGTAAAACCTACAAAATGCACTGTGTTTAAAGGAACACTTTTCAGCTGTTTTAACATCTCACCTTTCAAAAACACAAACTATGTGTCTCAAGAGCATTCTGAAGTATTTCAGTTATATAACAGTTCAAATGGAGTTAGCTGTAGAGTATCAAAGCCCTTTCCACATGTACTCAGAAACTTCTCAAAGTACATTAACTGAAAGTTCATTAACCTTCACTAGAAAAGTGAAGGCAATCCTCAAAGAACAGGCACAGACATGACAAATGATTTTTTCCCTGTGTACTTATACTTCCTGCCATGGTTTTCAGTACTGCCAGTTCTCCATCTGTTCTTCAGAATGGAAGAGTTGAACAGAAGTCCATACACAGAGATGAATTTGCACAATTGTCCCGAAAGGCAACATGCAACATTCTCCTCTCATGTGTGCGCACACACATGTGCACGTGTGTTCCATAACATAGCCCAAAATGTGATTTCACTGTTTTCAAGTACTGGTGTACCACAAATACAGAAAATCTCTGAGATACCACCAGGTTTAAGTATAAGAAAATAATTGTCAAGAAAGTGTGTGGCAAACCTTCCACAACAAATCTTTTGCTTTCAGAGCAGCTTTTTGGCTACCAAGAAAACTAAAATCTTACTAAAAAGGCTTACACTGAAAAACCTTGCCATACATAGGGCATGATAAAATATGGGTTTTTTAGATGTAAGACATACGAATAAAAACAACTTCACCTTCAAGATTAAAGAAAACAGATGGTATGTCTCAGACTGTCAGAAAACTAATGCTTTTCCTCTTCAGATCTACAATACTGCCATAAAAATCCAAGATTAGCATCTCCATCACTCTATTCAAAATCATATTAAGGTGATAAGCAACAGTTATTGCTGAGAATATAAAGGTAGTGACTGACTGATTCACTGGTAAATACAATAACCTTACAATTGCTTCAAACATTAATTTCTTTTTTATCTGGAAAATGACATTAGCTTATGCCTGATCATGTCTGGTAAGTTTTTTTAAGGTAGACACATGATTCTCAAGCATTAGAGATTCAAATAAAATTTCTGTTTTCTAAAATGGGCATGATATGAACATCTACAAAAGTGCAGGCTTATGCTTCAATCTGAAATAACATAACCAAGCCACTATTTCAGTTTACTAGCTTTAAACTCTTGACATACACATTGAAAACAGCACTCCTCAAAAAATCATACCTTAACACAAAGTCATGCTGTTTCATAAATATCTGTTTACACTATTGCCTTACTTCTAACACAGAAAATTGCTACCTCAAAGAGATGAAAAAGCAGAGAGAAAAATCCAAATACAAAACTGAAGTCACTTTAAAGATTCTCCTAAACATTGATATTACCAGATGATATCAGTATGCCATAAATGAGGGAAATTTGACAAAACCTTGAGAAAAGCTTGATTTTACAGTTTATCAACTTAAATTGGTTACCAGACTTCTATATTGTCATAAATAAAATGGTGAAATTCCATGGTTTCCGATGTTCCATCACACAATAAAATAAAAGCAGTATCAATTTAAAAAGAACATCTTACCCTTTCCCATGTAAAAGACAGACCTAGTGCATCGAATTGTTCCCTCATGTGTTGAATATTACTGAAAAATAATAATAAAAATTGAAAATTATTAATTTAAAATATTTATATCGTGTGACCATATTTAAAATCATGTATTTATAAAGCTCTAAGAAATCAAAAGCACGAATTAACCTCTAAACACTATGATCTCACTAGCAGTCAGACTCAAGGAATTGTCAGAATACTCACCTTTAACAACCATTTTAAAAGTCCCTAGTGTATTCTGGTCCAATTTTAATGGCTATGTATACAGGACAACAGTTTTTTCCCCTCTTGATTTATATACAACTTAAAAGCAAATATGGCACTGTGGTTTGAAGGAAACATTACTGAAGCATCACTTCTCATTATTTTTAATTATCTTTACTGTAGTTGAGCTAAAGGGCTCTCTGAAATCCTCTCAATGCAGTAGGTAGGATGCACTTTCACCATCAGCTTAATACTGCTCTGTTCTGGCAATGCTATCCAGGCTGCATTTTGCTTTGGCTGTGGTGATTGTGTGGCTACAGGATGAGCTGAATCAGCTTACCCACTCAACTGAAGACATGCCCTACAAAAAGTTCTCCAAAAAACCCCTACCAGCTTTCTTGCTTTCCCCTGAACCAACTATTACTGTGGGCCACAAAACCAGCTGAGCCAACACAAAGGAGGCAGTGGGAACATATATCCTGGGAGGCAATAAGGGACTCCTAAACTGGTGGCAGCACAGCCATATGTAAATATAAGTCAGCTGTGAAACTGTAAGGCTAGAAGTTGCACCAAATGAATTACATTACAAATGTAAAATAAGATACAGCAGAATATACACTAAAGCTTTAGTTTGAAAATACACTATATACAGTTCACCAAAACACCCACAATTACACACTATTAACCAGTGACCTGGTGTGAATTCATTCACGTACTGTAAAATTGGTTAAAATTTCCTATGGACTTTTGCCTTTCTATTAAAATGCATTATGTTACCTGAAGGAGCATCTCTCCTCCCATACTTGCTAAGCTGAGAGTCATGAAAGCATGCATTTAATTCTGATCCAGAACAAACTTGCACTGCTAAGTAACTGAGTAATGTGAATATTTAGTATTAACAGGCACAGAATCCCAGTTAGTCTTGAGAAGCAGCTCATTGAGTGACCTCATTTCTCCCTACAACTACCTAAAACTACCATGCCTGCAGTGAGAGGACTAAAGGGGACAGCCTTTAGCTGAGACAGGGGAGATTCAGATTAGATATTAGAAAAATATTCTTCACTGTTAGGGTGGTCAGGCATTGGAATGGGTTGCCCAGGGAGGTGGTGGAGTCACCATACCTGGAAGTGTGTAAGAGGCATCTGGATCTGGTGCTGGAAGATATGGTTTAGGGGTTACACTGGAGAGGCAGGTTAACAGTTGGACTCGATGATCTTAGAGGCCTGTTCCAACCTTGATTATTCTATGATTTCATGATTCTACACTGGAAAAGGTCTGCCTTTTCTGGTAAGTTATCTTTCCTGGTTTGGGTATACCAGGAAATCCTCTTACTTTCACTGGGAGAAAACATACTTTCAGTAGTGCTACTTATATTAAAGTCTTGTTCAAAATCAACTGCACTGATAAAAAAAAAAGACTAATCGAATCTGAGTTGTTTTCACAAAGCTTCTGCTGCTATGCTAACTCTTACTAATATTTTTTCCATGTTTGTATGAATAATTCTGTCCTCAATTTGGTATACCTTTCTTCCTAACTTTGAGAACACAAAAAGTTATAGTCAATTTGAGTTAATCTGAAATCACCTCTTCAGAAAATCAAGATGCTCTGCAACTTGGTTGCTCACTCCTGAAACAAGCCAAAATTTGTTCCCTTCTACAGGGGTGGCTGGCTCTGTGCCAGGGATGACAAAAACACATCAGGTTGCCATCACAGCTCCATGTTCAGTTCAATTATCCCTGCTGCATGGGAAACATTCAGGACAGGGACAATAGAGAAAATGGGAGACTATGATTACTGCAGTGGTTAGAATTTAAACTGACTGTGCAAAGAACCAACTCCCTTCCTGAGCACAATCAAAAAATCTTGGGTATGTAAATAATTTTTCTATTTGGCTGTTATTATAATCAGTTGCAATGATGATATGCTAACTTCTCTCAGCTTTTTTTATCATAATATTGTTATCTAACTCTACAAACTAAACAATTGCTCTTTTCATTACCAAGGAAATTTTCAAAGCAACATTTTTCTTCTCTTACAAAACATCTTGTACTTGCAACTAACTAGCTGAACTGCTTTAAGTGTATGGAATAATACACACCCATTTATAAGAAAAGAGAAAAACAGAACAAAACAGAAAGTAGCAGAAGATAATCAGATCAGGCTGTGCTCTGCCACATGCTTTTTTTGGTATGACCTAGACAAACTGCTAAGATGAGACAGGCTGAGCTGATATGGCACTCTGCTACTGCACAATTCTCTGCCCCACATGCTCACTGCTTTTCTTTCGAGCCAATTCAACTCAGTCAGCTGGCAGAAGACTTTCCTCTGAGTTGGCAAGCTGAGTCAGTTCAACAAGACATGCCACGAGTGCCAAAGCCAGTATAATAGGTAGACCATGTAGTAGAAAGAAGGGGGAATCACTAACCCTTTTGTTGTCAGTAAGTACTTAATGTAAGCCTCGTTTCGTCAAAATTACAACCTTTGCTTCCCTGTGCCTCATTTGTCATGTGGGCAAGGATTACAGTAATGCTCTATCTGTTGAAGTTTCCATCTAGATAATTGATGTAAAACAAGACACTCATATAACAGGTAGCAAATTTTGTTTTACAGCTGAGCTTGTATAGGACTTACTGAAGGATGACAGAAATCAACAATTTACTGACCATGCTACAATATTGATAGCCCACAACACACTGTACACAGGGATTATTCAGAGTCTCTCAAATGAACAAAACCAGCATTTTGTGTCTTGATGGTAATTGGTTCTGAGGCATACTCATGTCTAAACAATACATGAAGGAAAGTTTTTAAAAAAAGGAGATATAACTTGTGTGTAGTGCCCACGTGCATTCTCACTAAGTGAAATCAGTTGCCACCAAAATTTAGGTGGAAAAGTACCAAGAGGTCTTAAGATGAGACCAGAAGCATGAAGAAATGCCAAAGAAACAGCATTATTGAAGAAGGGAATGGATGCAGGTCTATGAAGATACTACAGCTAGATTACTGCACCCAGAGCACAACAAACAGCTTCACTCAGGAAGACTGGTTTACAAGTCATTTATAGAAATTGCTTATTTACACAGCTTTTCACTCATTTTAAAGAATATTAGGAGAACAGAACACCCATTGCTGTGGTCTAAAGCCCAAAATGTTCAGAGAAATCAGCAGCAATAATGGCTGCTTATCACTTTCCAAGACCCAGTCTCAAACAAAAAAAAAAAGCTTCTTCCACTTTCTCATGGTACTGAAAACTGCTGGTAAATCTAACCATGTAACTCATAATTTTTAACTGTGTATTCTGCACTAAGATTTACCTTGCCATAATGAAATTCTGATTTATTTCTTACTCACCAATTTGGTGTTTGAAAAATGTCACTCTATTGATATTCTACCTCTTAACAATTTAAGTTATTGAGATTAAAACTTTGAAAATCATCTCAATATATTATTTTTCAAAACTGAAACAGCTGCAGAGTACCACAAAACATTGGCAAATAACCTTGGTCTCAGATAACCCTAGTTCTTTCTGTACTGTCTTTCTTCTATGCTAGTTTTGCTCTGTTTAGTTGGTTTATGGGGGCCACAGTACAGGTATTCACAGTGGAAATGTCTTATTTCAATTCATTAAAACTACCTTCGTGTCCAGCTTGCAGGGTGAAGCCCATGTTCAACTGCAGCATTTTCTGCTGGTAAACCAAATGCATCCCATCCCATTGGATTTATCACCTGTCAACAAAAAGGTAAAACACAATGTTATGCAACGTTCTGGAATGGCATCAGTAACACACACAGGCCTCCAAAGAATGAACAGTGTTTTACATTTCAGCATTTGCTTTGTCTGAGTTGAACCTCTTCCAAACATGCCAACTATGGCTACCTTTGCTTTAAAAGATGACTAAGAAGCATACTTGCTACCTACAGTGTGATGTTAGAGAGGGCTGAAAGTATTGTGCAATAAATCCTCATGACTATTTCAAACCAAGTTGACAGTGACAAAAAATCAACCCTTTGTAAATTTGTGTGGTGGTGAAAATCAGCAGTTGATGCTGCTGCTGGACAGAATCAAATATTTATTCTAAAGAAGAAAGCAAGTAAAAATAATTGAACGAACAATTTTATAACTGTACCTGATGTGTAGCCTACTATTTTTCCTTTGCGTTGAACAAGAAAACAATAACACCCTATGATAACCTTAAATCCACTAGACAAAATGAAGAGGATGGGGAAAACACTTTTAGTCATGTTTTACTAAAATATCTTCTGCAAATATAGACTACAGACTGACAAATTGTATTTCACGGCCACAAACAAATAAAAGTGGGGAGAAAAGTTTGCTACAAAATATAATAGATAATTTCTGTTGAAACAGAGGTATAGCTTTCCTGATAACATGCAAAGTATTTCGGGAAATAATTAGCAATGCAGCAATTACTAAAAAAACCCTGATTAATAACCAGGGACAGAAGGCCAGTACTTAATATGCTGCCATTAAACACATATATATTGGACACCTGATAAAACCAATCCTATTTCCTAAATGTACAAATGTGCTATAAATTCAATAACCACGATAAAGGGTACACAGGTTTAACAACAGCAAAACATGACTGAGTAACATTTCACAAGCAGTAAGAAATAAAATTTTTTACCCCTTAAAATATGTATTTATATAAAGAACTTTTTCCTTAGTGGCATGTAAGCAATTAAGCAATAGAAAAGCAATCCCAGAAATACTAATCTCATAATCTGTCTCCATGTGAAAAATCTGCTTGTTTTGTAAGCATAAGAGCTACTTTAGTCAGTGGTTTGAATTATTTTTATTCTTCTTTGCCACCACCTTCCAATCCTCTGACTTAATGTAATCTTTCATAAAAAATGTTTTATAGACGTGTTTATAAAGATGCCCTAGGCACCAACACAGTGCAAAAGCAACAGGATTTAACAGATGTGACTCCTCAGTGTTCTCATTTTCAATACTGATCCAAAACTAAACCAGCTGTATATCATTACTCTATGGGTGCAGTAACAAAACCAAAGGTATTAACCTGTGACCACCTGTGATCCAAGCCAGCACAGCAAAGGTCCATGCACAGCACATTTTTGAAGTCTAAATCTAATAGAAATCCACATGCTACAAATGTGTTACATGTTTTCCCTATTATCAGACAAATTACTGCTCCTCACACCACAGTTTCAGAAAATATCTGCCCTAACTCCCTCCTTCTCCACACAATGGAGAGGGGAACATTACATGAAAAATCCCAACTGGAGCCTAAACCACTTCTCAATGCCCTGCTGAAGCACACCTGTCCCCAGTCCTTCTCCTCCCCACCCTCCCACCCAGCAGTCAGAACCATTGGTATAAAAGAAAAAAAAAAGGCAGGCAAACTTTACATATACTATACTATAAATCTCAATGGAATATCTTAAGAACACACTAAAATATTAATTTATGCATCTCAGTTCTTTATGACCACTACTATTTCTAATGACCTGTCTCTGGACAGACATGATAAACTGGACAGACATGATAAAACAAACCAGACTGGAAAAAACAACTTCACTACCAGCTACAGGCTCTCCAAAAAAGGCTGAGTGATGCTCCAGACAGTTAATGTGCAGACATTTTATCACTGTAACATCAGCACTAGAAGGAGTAACCTGTGCACACAGATCTTTCAAATTCAAGCATTTATGAAAAATTTTCACAAGTATTCACCCTTCACATTCAAAAGTTCAATGTAACCACCAACAGCAATCTTCAAGTTAAAGGGCTGAAGAACTATGCTTAATTCAAGTTTCAATCAGAAAACTGAATTTAAAGAGACATTAAAAATATCCTCAAATTAATCTCCAGGATAGATCTATTTATGTAGTTGCTATAGAGATGAATGTAACATGCACAGTGGTTTAGAAAATTATTTCAAGTTTATTGTCTCATTTACTTCTCTACCATGAATGGATTTGAAAGGTTTGTGAACTGCATTTGTCTAAACAACAGGTCAGCTCCTTCTGGCTGTAATCTGCAGTTAAAATGCCACAGCCTTAATGCAGCATTTGACATTACAACTTAACTCTACTTATCCGACGTAAAACATGTCAAAAATCTCAAGACACACACACACGAGGAAAAGAAAATATATAACTAACATGTCAGAAGTTGGCACAAAGCAAAAAAGGAACAGTACGAATGTTGAAAACAAACAAAAAATAGGGGAAAAATAGAAAGCAATTTTGAAGACCAAAGGGTATTCCTTGTAGCTCCTTGATGGGTTGGCCATAGGCTCTGACTATCAGAAAACATGACTGCTCTCTCTAGCATTACAGATGAGCAGAAGAAAAACAAGTCATCCACTTTTCTTGAATGCTGACTTGATTGCTTTTGACAGCAGTCTTTATGCAACAGACGGATCCATTCTGCTCACTGGAGTGACCTTTCCTCCAAGCATCACTTCTGTGTGCACACAATATTTTCTCTAAGCCACAATGAGAAAGAAAAACAACTACTGACCATACCTTGTAAAGCAGGAGGCATGCATAAGTCTAAGGGTGCTTATGCACAGTAAAAGAAGACAGGCTACAGTTTCAGCCACTTTAAGATGGCAGGAAATAGTGCTACTGCCAAAGGCAGCTTCATGTTTCCTGTCCTCACAATGAAGTGGACATGTAAACTCCTGGTGAAAGCTCCTAGGTTAGTCTTGAACATAGATTATGTAATTTAAGATCCTCAGAAGTTCACAGGATCAGGCGGAATCAGCTATGAAATGCTGACATTTTCTACCACTTCACACATTTTGCATAGGAACAGACAAAGTTGCAAGGTGATTAATTTGTCCCTGGGGAACATGGTGTTCAGTAACTACCTCTAAGTGGCAGTTTTAGGAACAGGTTATCAACAAGTCATATCTTGAAACATTTTAGACCCCAAGACTCTGACTGCAAATCAGCTTGAAGCACTGCTTTAAGAATCATTTCACAACATGGTCACACATCTGTTGCTAACCATGGCTACAGTTCTTAATGTGACTGTGGTGTGTACCGGAGAAAGACACAGGAACTCTGTTAATTCACTTCTGAGATCGCAGCTCATCCTCTCAGAGGATCTTCATCTATTCACTGCTGCAACAGTGTATAACAGAGCTGACAGTAATCTCATAACACTCAGTTCTAAGCCTCCATCAGCATAACTAGGACTGACGATTCAGTGAACATCCCTTGATTTTGTAAGAAAACAATGAACATGTGTGCTCTCCTGATGTGCTCAGTATGTCTCAAAACTGTGACCAGAGAGCTGACGTAACATTTTTACATCTAGATCAATGCATTCTAACTTTTAAGACAGCAGAATCAGTATCCAAAAGGCCTGCAAATAAATGTATTTTCTTCAGAGGGTGTGTAATAAAAGAAGACAACAAAAACCCTCCAAGCTCCAGGAGCATCCTCCACGCACTGGATCTCACAACTGTGCAAACACACACAAGTAAGACAGTGAGAACACACACTGGGAGCTGGGAAAGTCGAGGATGGCTGCCCCTTCCACTGGCTGCCTACAATTGGGATGAATTTGTTGAAAATCTGATTTGTAAATTGACAGATTACAGATAGAACACATTTTAAATACAAGACCTCCACCTGAATGCAGCCTAGATTGTCTTTTAAGTGTACCAGGTAATAAACACCATTACACAACAGGTTAAAACTGCTACCACCAAACCAAGGAAAAAAACAACTCCAAGCAGCCAAGGCACACCTGGAAATAGATTAAAACAATGAATTTCTGACCAGCGTGTACGTTCTAGCAAGGACTATTTAATGCTTTTCTGCAACACAGTGTTGCTTATTAGCATTCTCAGAAGGCACTTTCAAATTAAAAAATAATCAACCCACACCGATTTCTATCAAAACATAAAATGGCCTCATTTATTTTTTATACTCACAAAATACAAAATATGAGAAATTATTCTATGTCCACACACTACCACAAACATTTTGAGAACAAAGTTGTCTCTTGCCTCCTTAATCTCACACATTCTCGTCTAACATAATTGCATTTACAATCTTGTCTCATTTTGTCTTTTTCTTTCAAAATGAAACAGAGTGAGCTCATTAACACCTTCGGTACTTGCTACTGGAAAACTGAAATTAGATAAGATTCAATTCACGCACGATACTTGTAACATTTTCTATGTGATTTACACCACACAGAATAACCTGACAAAAGGACACAACAGCCTCACACAAAAAAGGTGGAGAGTAGCTGGTAATGATGATCAGAAAATGGATCTGTATTGAAATAATTCATCCTCCTGATGAATTAATTATAAAGTTTTAATTAAACTTGCCTGTCTTCAATACCATTCACTTTTGCAATTTCAAGAGTATTAAGATTCACTGCTGAAAGGGAAAACAATTAATGAAAATACATCCAATTTAAAAGAAGAGATGTTATGGATAAAACAAAAACACTGTGAGTCCTTTGGTGATAGTGGGAAAATATCACTGACAATATTCTAATCCCATCTATCAAGAGCAGTTTAACTGTGAATTAAGAAATGTGATTCTGGCATGCAGGAATTTCACCCTAACTTGTCCAGAGATTATTCTCATTTCTGTATAACTCTCACATGTGACTGCCATGCTGTGGCATCAATTTCAGTAAAAAGATATCACAAAGACTATTGAACTGAATCACTCCCTGTTTACTGATCGTTAAGGGAATTATTCTCAGTCCTCCGAGAGGCACAAATTATCTGCTTTGGAATTTATCAAAGACATGATAATGATAGCACGATAAAGCAATGGTAAGTACTTCTTCCCAGAACAGCAGCAGACTGCCATAGTGAAAATCACCATGAATATCTGTATAATCTGGACACTGCACTGTGAAATAATGAATAGGAAATATCTTAACTTCTTACAAAACTCCTACATTTGAATTCACAACATGCAAGTAAATTCACAGAGAAAACACCACCAGAAACTGCACATTCTCATTCTGGATTGGTTTATTAATAGCTACAAATTTGTAATTTAAAATATATAAATTACTTTTTTCATAGCCTTTTAAAAGAAATGTGTTCCTAATAACATCTAGAACTCTCCACACAAAGTGTTTCAACTGCACTTCAAGAAAAATGTCATCCTTAACACATTTGGGAAGGAGATTGAGCTCAGTGCATTCATGCTAACTAATCTATACAGCTTACATTTCCCACGCAAAGACTTCAAACTTCATCTTCAGTAATTAGAATGTAAACAAGTTATCTTATAACAGATGTACTCTACAAATCATTTATCCAGAAACTCAATCCAAGTGCATGACAGTTTGTTTCCCATGCACTGCCTACGGGTCCGTAAGGAGTCCCGGAACAAGACAATGCTCCACGATGCTTTCATCTACAGTTTTATACTGGAGCAGCACTTCTTCCAAAAACAAGGGGAGGGGGAAGCAATAAATATTTATTTCCCCACTTAAAATGCTGATGAAGTGCAGTTCTTCTGCAAATACCAGTAGATTTCAACACATATTACCTCTCTAGAATGTATTTTTATATCTTTTACTTGAAACAAAATCAGATCCTATCCAGCTAAAAAGATGAAACACTAATGTTTCGCTTCAGAAGAAAAAACCACAAAAACCTCAGTATCCAAATGATTTCAAACTTTCCCAGTTAAGATTTCAAAATACCTCCAATACGAAGAAATGACACAACTGCATTCCAAGAATGGTTCCAGTTTACTAAAGGACCTCTAACCTCCTTGTAAATGCATTCTATCTTATCCTTACTTAAATATTATAACCAATAAGCCAGTTCTTGCATGTCCAGATTAAATCAAAACAAAACTCATTTACTGCTTTCTCATCAAGGCATCCTCTAAGAAAAGTATCTCCAACATAAATCGCTCTCTTACTCAGCCATATATTCTCATCAGCTCTGTACAAACCATATACATTTTCCCTCACTGTTGTTAAACACTATAGTCTGAAGTTTTCCCTGGGAACTCTGAGTGGCTTTGCAGCCCATCACTACTTGTAGCCTTACAAACACTTTCAACCTACCTGTATTGCTTCTAGCACAGTGTTATGAGATATTGACCAGGGTCAGTTCTCCATCTCTATGCAGAGATACAGTTCCTAAGATTATTTTCAGTGACCCTTCCTTTTTGTTTTTTTTTCAGTTTGCAAATGATGGAAGCAAAGTTTAAACGTTACTACTCAAAAATCTTATCCCAAACTTGCCTTAAATACCTTATTTTTGACTGGGGAAACATTAGCAGTCCCTGAGCTATCAAATATGCAATATTTGAGCTGAATTTTGAGAAAGAAAAAAAAAAATCGATGGAATAACTTCAAAGTTATGCATATTAGCATGTTTATTTCTAAAGCACTCTTTCTTTTCATGTACTGAAGAATTCCAGTAATCCCTTGGATATAGGGAAAACTATTTTTCTTGGGAATATCAAATTTTATGGTATAACCATGTAATAGCCTAAAACCATCACAATAAAGAAATCTTTAAGAGATTGTACAGCCGTGACAAAGGACAGAGAAAAATTCTAGAGGCTGATAAATTAATTGCAAGGAGAAAATCAATTATAAATACTTCAATTCTAAGTGATGGAGAAACTAGCACAGCTAATACAGAAAAAGTTTTTTATGGTAAATATAAGTTCCAGCAAGTTAATATACGTGGCCAACACAGTATCTCTTAATCTGACATGCTCAGAAAATCATCTGAGAGATTTTTAATGTTTCTTAACCATAAATGAAGGTTAAATTCCTTGGCTGCCCACCTTTAGTCAAAAATAGATGTTCAAACTGGTTAACACAACAGAAGATATAAGTATTTATAGAAATCCAGCATGTTCTACAGGCACTCCAGTATCCTTCAAAGTAATTTTTACATGAAACATAAAAATAAGCTGAAATGCAAGATGTAAAAACTTGAAAAGCCTTTAAAAACTTTTCTGGAAAAATATAGGCAAATATGGAAATACAAACTAGCTTGCATGGCGGCTCTTGTACCTCATTGCCATTATATATTATCTTCTCCATTTTCTCCAAAGGTGCTTACTTAACTTGTACTCAAATGCAAACAACTAGAGCATCCTATATATATATGATGTAGAAAAACATTTTCACTTTATTTTAGCTAGTACAAGAGGAAGCAAATGTTTATCTTTCTGAACAGAAATTTGGTGGCTATCTTCACTTCTATTAATGAGAGGTGAGCTATATCCTCAAATGACACCTCCAGCAGACTTCACATCAAACAAGAATCAAACTTCCCTTCAAATCACAGAATCATCAAGGTTGGAGGAGACCTCTAAAGATCATCAAGTCCAACCATTAACTTGCCACTCCACTGTAACCCCTCAACCCTAAACTATATCTTCCAGCACCAGATCCAGACACCTCTAACACTCTTATAGGGATAGTAACTACACCACCTCCCTGGGCAACCTAACTAATGCCTAGTTTGCTTAATTTTTTTAGTGATACCCAAGTTTTGGTCACTCAGAAGAGTTAGTAAAGATTAGTGTTACAACAGACATTGGGATTTTTTTCCTCATTTAAAGTTTAAGGCAGTTATTTCTTTTTCCTGTCATTTTGAAGGCATAAGAATGCATTTCTGCAAAGCAGCAGCACATATTCAGTGCATGGTATGTTCATCATTGGCATAAAACACATAGTATTTGGAAAGGCAGCACACTGAATAATTCAGTGACAATACCTATCAGTGTCTCATATGGATGGTGATAAATCCAGGAAATGCTACACTTCTGCAGCACTTGTAGCAAGGAAATCACACTTAGTACCACAACCAGCAACTAACATTTCTCTCTCCATTTCATGTTCTTTGTACTCTACTGAGGTTGATTGCTATATTCTTGAGCTGCTCCTTCTCTCTCATACATTAGAGAGAATTCCTGAGTGTCATCTTAGATCCTTGCCCATGGCTATATTTTTTTGTTCCCTTCTCTTTCCATATTCCTCCTTCCTACTGTTTCCTAGACTCTCAACATTTTCCCCCTAGCAAATGTCTCTCCTCCATAATATGTTTCTCCCACACCTTCCTTACATCCTTCAAATTTTACCCACCAGCCCATCCTGCAGAACACCAGTTAGGATCCCACTGCAGATTTCAGGGACTAAGCTCTCAGCTATACCTGCTACATAACAGAGAGACAGAAGGAAGCAAGGGGGAAATCATTGCAGGCACAGGATGGACTGGGAAGCAGAGAACTGTGGAAGGTGAATGGGATTTCTTCTTGCAGATGTAGCAAGAAAGTTAGGCTTAGCTTATCTCATAGACTTGCACCTTCAATGTTTCACATACATGAGGAAGGCAAGCCAAGGGGTCAGTGGCTACAGAACAAGTGCTTCTAGTCACACCCACATGATGTGATGTGTGACATGTGACATGACCCTGTTCCTCTGACTTGCAGCAGTCATGAGAAGGATTTATCTCCCAGCTGGCAGAGGAGCAAGGTGTCCCTCTGAGTCTGACCAGTTCTCGGGAGCAGAAGAGGTGAAGGCAGCTGACTTCTGTGGTGTCTCAGTTTTCTCCTCCCAGCTACATCTTTTCCTTGCCCTTGGTCCCACCCATATGCCAGTAGGGTGTTCACTCTCCTCTCATAGAAACTGTGTGGCCTACACATCTCATCAACACTGTGCCATACATCAGTAGATTCAGGTTGCTGATACAGAATCGGCTGTATCATCTGAGATTGCTTCTAACGACCTGCTGTCAACAGTGTTCTGAACACCACCTACTTTAAAAGAAGTCTTGAATTTCAATATTCAAAGCTTCATGGGTAATTATCTATGCATCCATAGCATATATTCCAACTAAACCTTAACTGGATTTTGTAAAACACTATTTTCCTGATCAGTTATGATATTAAAACATAAAAAACCACCATATCCAGTCCTACTGCTGATCTATTCTTACCTGCATCCCTCTCATTTTCTGGAACCGAGCTATAGCGTCACTGATGGTGTAGACACGAACATGGCCCATGTGAAGCTTCCCAGAAGGATATGGGAACATAGAAAGCACATAAAATTTTGGTCTTGATTTCTAAAAAGAAATTTTTAGAAAGCAGTAACTACATGAGTTAGCATTTCTCTTGAATAAATACATGTGCACATTATAAACTACATGGTACCATGAAGAGAAACAAGGTGGTGCTGGAACCGATCCAAGTGAACACTGACAAAGTTCATTGGATCAAATTCTTTGGGGCAGTTGAGATGCTTTATCAGACTTTGCCACCACTTCATCAATTTATATCAACACTTATATGGCACTTCAATATTAAGAAAATCAATTACCTTTTACTCAATAAAAGATACATTAGCAGAACTGAAGGTTAACAAATCACCATTCCCTACCATAGCATCTGTAACTGATTATCTGTGTGCTCTTAATCTGCTCCACCAAAAAAATATGAAAACATTACAGATTAAATTATCCTCATAACAGTTGAAATAATTCATGCTTTACTTTGTATCTGCAACAAACATGGAGCTCACTCCTGGCCAGCTGCTTTCTGTCAGCAGAACTGCAGTAACTCACTGAGTGACTACAGCATTTGCAATCGCATGAACATCTGCTAAAGTGAAATTCTTTGGTTTCACCACATTATGTTCAGATCCAAAGACATCTTACCAGCAGCATCTTACATAATGAAAAGGTAAAAATTTCATTTAGTTAGGGTTGAGTAAAATGACAAAAATTACAAAGAAACCAAACTCTCTCTCACATCAATTATTCCTAATACATCTTGATTTCCATTGAATTTACCATTGATATATTTGATAAGTTCCCACATTAATTTTCTATTGTTAATAAAAAAAATAAATTATGGGTAGCTTTTACTATTCTGAATAAAACTCTCTTCGTATTTATCAACTGTTACTTCCTAATCCCTTTTGTCCAATCATAGAGAAATCAGAAATAATCTGAGCACTTCAATGTAGCACTATACACTCTTTGCCTCTTAATACGAGATGTTATTAAATCTATTTCAACTGTAAGGACAAAACGAAAATATCATTAAAAATACAATTTAGAACTTAGCCTATGTATGCTGTATACAATACCTATGTGTACGTGTGTTGTCAGATATCAAAGACATAGGCCCAAATTATTGCTTTCTCTGGTACAGGTATACATGCACACCATTTTCATCTGTTTTCTTCCCCAGAAAAAAGGAAGCTCTTTTCTCTCTTCAGCATTTTGACAGAACAAATTTTTTGTCTGGGAGATGCCACATTTTATGAAAGACAAACAGAAAACCATGAAGGGGCACAAAAATGTTTTTCTATCTATGTGACTGAGAGTAATTACGAAGGCAAAAAGAGTCAGAGACTGAGATAACGTTGTTTTCAAGATCTTTTATTGCATGGGAAAACTTTCTTTTTCTGCAAGTCACTTATTATTCCTATGAGACTGTGAACCAGAAAATATTAAATCATTTTCCCCTAACATAGGTTTTAATGAGTCACAGTGTGCAGTGTAATAGATTTGTCACAACATTGGGAACAAGATCCCGAAAAACTGTTTACAAAAGTTACAAATGTAGAAGATGCTTTTTTTAATAGTTTGAATAACTAATTCCTAAATATGGCATAATATACAAAGAAAGAAATTACAACTTAAATATTTTCTAAATCTGTAAGTTCATACTTTTCTTATCACTGTGTTGTTCCTCAACATTTTTCAGTTATTTTTCCACCTATGTCATCGATGGTTTTCAATAATCTACTATCACACAAAAGTATTTTCTCCTGAAATGCAATATACACCTTATCCTTATAAGCCAACTGTAGTAAGTAAGTTTCAATTAACCTCATTCCAAGACAACAAAAATATCAAACATGTAATCCCCGAATTTCTCATAATGCTTACATCAGTTTCTGAAATTCTGCAGAACTGATCCTTTATTCTTGGCAGCCACCAATTTTCAACTCTTTTTCTTGTCTCCAACCCATAGCTCTTTTCCCATTTCCCCGTCTCACTGTAAATAGTTCTCACACCAGCAGGAACCAGCCTTCTCTGCCATTTCCTTAATCCCAGGAAGCCGTTCAGTTGTCTCTTCAAACATGAGGAACAAGTGCCAACTCTCTGACAAACCGACTGCATTCTTAAGGTTATCACACCTGAAAAGACAAAAACATGTATTTCAGTCTATAACATATAGCAAGAATTCAGTGCTCATTGTGATTATACAGAAAATTGGTAGCTATGAAACATATTTTAGCTTGATTGGGACTACTCGGCTGTTTTCCATGGTACCTGCATTTTATTCCTGTGTCTGAAATATAAAAGCATGGATTCCTTAGCCGAGAGAACTAACTGTGGCCCTGGCTTGGAACAGAACTGTTGTGTTAGGTGTCTTATCTAATAAAATACAATTCTTGCAGACTCCCATGAAAGCGGAATCAGTCACCTGAAGGTTCCAAGAAGCTCAGTTGCCTGAACAGAAGAAGATGGCTAACGGTGTTAGTAAAAATTCAGAATGAAATAGGGAGAAGAGGAAGTTGGATGAAATTATCCTGTAAAAATACTGAATTTGTCATCACTGAAAAGAGATGGGGGAGGATGACTATAATTAGTAATTTCAACTAGATATTCCAAACTGACTGTTTTGCTAAGGCTTTCTCTTTCAACTGGAAAGCCAGTTAACTCCTCATATGCTTCAGAGCAAGTCTTCTAAAACTAGTCAGACATGAGAAAGATCAAATAGTCTGCACATTTGGGATCAGTCTCAACAAGGTAAAAAGATCCCTACTCTGAGATTTCTTCCTCACCTTGGCCCCTAATTCCTTTTCTTAAAAAAACTTTATTTATTTACATGAATATTCCCTATCCTCTATGGTTGGTTTTGGTGGGTTTTTGTCAAATTTTGGCCAATACACTTGACTTGTACCAAGCTTAGGTATTTCAGTCAGATCATGATTTTCCTTGCAGTTACATCAGTAAAATCTCTGCATAGAGCATGTCTGCCTAAGAAAAGGTTTTACTTATGTATTTCCCATAAGGTAGCGACATTATCAGTAGAAGTAATTGCTATACCACCTGAATTAGATCCCCAGTAAAACAGTGGGAGTTATACTTCCTTTAACATTCACCATATATGCATACAGAAACCCTCAGGGCCTTTCTCATCACCTACCTGCAGAATTGCACCTTTCCTCTCTTGTTCAGCAAGCAGGGTCTTTTAAACATGTTTGCGCTTACATATGTCATGCTCTTAATTTTTTGTGGCTAATCTGTAAAATCTCTCTGACTTGTAATAACAACAAATCCAGGGCTGTACTCAGGATTCCCAGTGTAGGTGCACATGAGTCATTCAGGAAACACCCAATTTCACCCCCTCCATAACCTTACACTCATCTCAAAATTTACACTTCAGTATTTCACAGTTTTTCACTCTGCAGTGTCTTTCCCAACCCCAGACCCCCTCATGCACAAGATGGGATGAGCAGCAAGTGATGCAACGATCAGAGTAATGGGTTGGGCCAAGCCAGGATGTGTAGCACAGAGGAAAACCAAATCCAAAAGACATGACACTAAGTGGTTTTGCCTTTCCAGGCTTCTGTGCACGGGTCTAGGAAAAGCTGACTGGCCCCTTCCCACATCCCAGCCCCGTGCTGGGTGTTCAAAGGAGCAAATATGAGCCAAAACTGTTCAGCTCAGGCACGTGTGCCAAGAAGGGAAGGAGGAAGGGGCTGGACTGACAGGGAAATAAATCACAGAATATTTGGAGTTGGAAACGACCTACGAGGATCACTTAGTCCAACTCTTGGTCCTGCAAGGACATCCCCAAGAAACACACCATGTGCCTGAGAACATTGTCCAAACAACTCTTGAGCTCTGTCAGGCTTGGTGCTGTGACACGTGGTGCTGGGACAACTGCCCTGGGGAGCTGTTCTAGTGCCCAACCACCCTCTGGGTGAAGAACCTGTTTCTAACAGCTAACCTGAACCTCCCCTGACACAGAGAACGCGTGGCACGGCGCGGCAAGCACGTGGGACAGGAGGCCTTTACCGAACCAAAGCGCTGCAAAGCGCCTGGCGAGGACTCAGCGCCGGGGCAGGTGAGCGCACGGAGAAGGCAGCGCGGGAGCGGGCTGGGC